TATGCAAATTCCTAAGAGAAACTATTTTTCTCTACTGGGGAAAAAAAATCAGTGAATTATTAATATACATTGTATGATGCTGTGGTCTTTAAATGATAAGTAATAGTTATACCTGCGCAGACAGGGAAAAGGGATTCTAAGTAGAAGAAAGACATACAAAAAAACATAGTGTGTGCCTTTGTCCATTTGTACTGCCATTAAAAATTACTTAGCATAACTCCTGGCTTAAAAACATCTAAACTAATGTTCTCAGTATGGTTCCTCCTTGTAGATCTCATGGACTTTATCTTCTATCTTACCATGTAGACGCATGTCCAGATTTGTCTCTCTGGAGTGCTGCTGACTCTGCTGTGTGTTGCCAGGGGCTAAGAAATCAGGATTTAGATCCACACTGTCCGGTAGAACTTCTGTGACGCTGGACGTGTTCTGTATTTGCCTCCATCCAGTAATGTAGCCACAAGGCACATGTGACTATTGATGCCTTGAAATGTGGCTGATGCAACTGAAGAATGGAAATTTTCCTCTTTAATTAATTTAAATTAAATAACCACAAGTGACCTGTGGCTATAGTATTGCTCACTACAGAGCTAGGGTTACTTTTTTAGGAAATGTAAGTTCCAGATGAATTGGGTGAAAGTGCATTAGGCTACAGTATTTCCTGTGAGATATTATTGCATCCTTTCCTAGCTGAGCCAATACTTTTACCCTGCATAGTCACTGACACTATATTATTATTAATTAGGATAGTCTTAAGGGAAAACTAATAAATTTATATCTGTAGACGTCTCCTATGAAGTGACTTTAGTCTTAAAGGAAAAGAAAGTCATCCTGGAGTTGGAGGTGAGGAAGGGTAAGGAGAAGAGGAAAAGGGTTCAGGAAAAAATGAGACGAGCATGGCCATACCCGCAAGACTGGATAATTTAGTGTAACCGGCATACAAGGTGTCTTTTAGGGGAGTAGGGGGAGATAAAGACCAATCTGAAAAGACATAATACTGTACTTTATTTCAATACTGTTGAAGTGTTTTACATAATTTTGTGTAACTTCTCACCCAAGATGTTCATTGCAAATATGTAGGGAGGTGGAGCTTTGGTTTCTCCCCTCCATTTTTACAAACATTATTTATATTTTCATCATCAAATTAAACAACTAAAGTTGTAATATTGTTCCCTAAATTTATTACTTGGACAAGATTGAGATTTAGGAAATTTGTTGCCATGATGTCACCAATGGTTTATAATTTACAAGTCTTTGGATTAGACATCAGCACAGTTAATATTTCCTCTAATGCCTTACCTCACCACAGTCTAATAACATTCAGGAAATCCAAAAGACAAAGGGGAAAGAGTGGTCTTGAAAGCTAAAAACAGTTGTTGAAAACTGATGCAATCATGTAATAAAATATGCCGCAATTACTTATATGATATGCTCATGGTATCTGCTAAAGCAATTATACTTCGTGTAGCTAGGGTTTTGTTCATGAATTACTAAAAATGAAAACTGTTTCAGCTTAAGTCACACCTATGAATTATGCAGTTAAATTGTATACATTGGTCTTAAGATTTTCAATCTTATTACTTGTACTTATAACCTCTTTAAGCCACTGGGTAATGATCAGATTTCAAAAGTCCTTCCAATGAGAGCCAGTGAGGTCTGTGATATATTACATACTACTTAGGATATTGGCGTGCAATTATCTTAACACGGTGTTCTTTCATGATGCTCAATATCTCCACACATCTAAAATGATCGTTTTAATTAGATAATAGAAAAAGCAATATTAGTGTCTTTTCATATAAATAACACTTATCAGACATATTAAGGGGGGTTGTTGTTTAAATGACAATTTTTGTAGATATCTTATTTAATGAATAAATTTAAGAGATTCCAAAAATTATATTGGATTGGATTGGCAGTTGTCGTTTTTTTTTTTTTTGAAAGACAAATCCCATATAAAAAACAGTACTTTTTTTTAATTTATATTTTTTTCAGAAAAGATCTTCAACTAGCCTTTAATTGTTCATTTGAGAACAATTCTCAGTCCTTATGGAAAATCAAAACATTTATATGTATTTTTTACATGGGTCCTGAGTTCCACTGATTGAAATATAGGCAGGGATTCTCACTGTGTCATGGTATAGTTTGATGAGCATAGGGCAGAATCAGTTTAATTTAACAACTATAAATAAAACAAAGTGAATAAATGTTTTGCAAGGGCATATGAAATAGGTTTTATATACATTGTTGTAAGTTTTCACATCACCCTTGAGATTTTTTTGTCCTCCTATTACAGACAGGAAATCTGATTTCCTGATTTTCAGAAGAGTGTAAGGACTTGCCTGGGGCAGAAGATGATAAAAGGCAGATCCAGATATAACACCCAGTTCTGCCCGATTTCAACATGCATGGCCCCTATTACTACATGTAATGGGTATGAATTTTACACTACAGGCATTTGTGTGTAAGAAATGTCATTTGGTTTCCCAATCTGGAAATCAAATTGCATTCATTTCAGGCCACCGTCTCACTAGACTGCCAAAGATATTCAATTTGTTTTGACCCTTTGAATATAACAGAAGTTTATAGAAGATTTATATGGTAGATTTCCAGAAATTTGGGTGAGATTTAGACTTAAAGCAAAGGTATTTTATATCAGTAAAGAGGTGATTAACTCATATTCATTTATGAGGTGGAACAGAAAGGAAGAAAATGAAATGGATGCCCCCTTAGAGGACATTACCTGACACCCTGACAAAGTATAGTTTTCCATCTTCTCTTAAACCATAAATGACATGTTTAACCTCTTCCTAGGAAGCCTCGTTCTTTACCTTGTAAATCAAATACCACATGAAACTGGAAGCACTTCTCAGCTATTTGTCTGTGTCTGATCACCTTGGACATATGATCCCAGGCACGAGGTGTCTCATACTCTGTGAGCACAGCTCCCCTGTCTTTCTCAGTATTGGAGAATATCTTTTGACCACAAATAATAATAATCATCTTTATAAAAAGTATATTCTATTGTCCTGCTACTTTTCCTGTTCCTCCCTCTAACAATAGCAAATAATCATATATACAAATTTTAATATGTTCAGTGATTTGTGTGAGTAAAGTTGATATCTTTTACTGTTTTTTATTATTTCCTAATTTTTGATCAAAATGCATATATGAAGTCTGACAATTAAACTTGAAGACTTGCCACCATGTGCTCATGTTTCCAGCACTGTACAAACACCTTGGTAGGGTTTCATGGCCTTGAGACATCCGTGTCTCTCAGCTGTGTTCATGTCCACATGCGGCAGTGATGAGAGGTATCTTGACCAGGGGCATTCATTATTGTTGTTATGTGGTTTGTGTGCTGTGGTGAAAATGTCAGGGCATGAATTAGAGCAAGGAACAAACATTCTAAGTTTCTGATTAAACTTGGTGAGAGTAGAAATGAAATTAGGAACGTGTGAATTCAAGTTTATGCAGATAATTTCATGAAGAAAATGGCAGTGTACAGATGAATGAAACTTTTTTGGAGGAGAAGGAAAGTTTCACTAATGAAGAGAGGCCAGTAGTGACCAGAAATGACAAAATTCTCAGGCTAAATCTGTGTGGCTATCCTTATCTGCACTGATGTTTTAGGACCAGGGGCTCAGAGATACGTAATGGTGACCAAAGAACTAGGGCTAAAAATCTGCCCACCTGAATGCCGGTAGCTGGCTTACTTCCCTTCCCACTACAACTAAGTGCAATTCTGTGAAGCTCATAAGTTATTGCAAAGAGTACATTTTGGAACTGAGCAGAAGCACCCTCATTGTCAGGGGACAGCTTATTACCAAGTCTTTAATCAGCACAAGGAAAGAATGGAATCAGGAATTTTCACTCACAGCAACAGACATAGAGAATACTTTGGGTTTGCTTTCTTTTTACTTCCCTCTCTCATTTAAATGAGTTTTAAGAGTTATAACTTGAAACTGTGCCATTAACTCCATCAGAAATATTAAATGTTAACTAAAATGATCCTTACTGACCGTAAAAGGAACACCATTTACTATCTCCAGATGATAAAAAATACCTTTATATGAAAAGTAGAGAAAGTGCCAAGAAAGCCATTTTACTTCAATCTGTGGACACCTTAGTGTGCTTCTGGAAAATGCAGACATATTCGGACCTAATTATTTCCCGGGACACCTGGTTTTGAAGAGTGCTCAGAAATGTCCCCTAACATTCTGGGTGATCTCATATAGGTAGCTAGAAACATTCTGGCAACAGGATCTCAGGCATGATTTAGTTTCCTCATCAAGACTTTTTTGTTGTACTTTCCTGTACACATTCAACCTTGAGACATGTGTAGTTTTTATATGTAGTCCAAAGTTTATTCTTGTTTCTGAATATGTAGAGCCCAACAGAGCACACGTTCCTGTGAAAATGGTGTGCTTGTTATAAGGACGCCACCTCCAGGCACACTACCCCATCATACAGGGGTGGGTGAGATCGCTTCATAATACATGAGAACTGTGTGAGCGCGTACGTTGTACAGAGGACGGGGTAGAGCAAGTGACGGCCAGAGCTATTCAGAAAGTCCTCGTGGAAAAGTACATTAAGAAAAGCCAATATATTGTTATTTATTCTAGACATCTCATGGAGTAAACCGCTATTTTTTCTTGTCTACAAAGGAAGGATGAATCATTTAAATTAAAATTTTTTCTTTAACAGCCTTTTGGATAGGTCTTAGCAAACCTGTGTAGTAAAATGATAACTCGCTTCCCATGACATGTTCTGCTCTTTAGAGTTCGTTTACACGTTATTGCTTGCAACATGCTAAGTGCTCCTAAAATTCCCTAAGCTGAGTAGATTTTTTAGCTATTTTCAACCCACTGAATTTATCTTGCCATCTGCAAAAAACAACCTTTGCTGTTGGACATGAGTACTCAACCTCTCTTTAACTAACATATTGAAAATACTTCTTACATTAAATAAATAAAACCCTTTTTCTTTGTTTCAACCTACAGGATAACACATTTAAACTGGAGGACTCACATTTTGAAAATGGCCGTGGGAAGAGTCCATATGACCCTAAACTGCTGACGGCATCTCTTTTAATAGGTGCGTAGTCCACAGTCAATTCCGTAGTGAAATTTTATAGATCATCACCAGGTTGCATGTTGTTTTTTTATCTTCTGAGATTTTCCATATAAATCACAAACCATTTTACAAGTATATCAGTTGTGAGATATTCAAATACTTCAAAATGGAAGAAGAAACATTAAATGCCATTTTGGATATTGCCCTACCTACTCTGATTCTTTTTACTTAAAATGGTTGAATAGTACCTTAAAATACCCTGCTCAGGCATGACACATCCCCTCTTGAGCTTAGATTTTTCTTTTGTAAGAAAATATTTTTATTTCCATTTTATGAAAAAGGTATTTACAGGCTCGGCGCCTGTGGCTCAACCGGCTAAGGCGCCAGCCACGTACACCTAAGGTGGTGGGTTCAAATCCCCAGCCCGGACCCGCCAAACAACAATGACGGCTGCAATCAAAAAATAGCTGGGCGTTGTGGTGGGCGCCTGTGGTCCCAACTACTTGGGAGGCGGAGGCAGGAGACTCGCTTGAGCCCAGGAGTTGGAGGTTCTGTGAGCTGTAATGCCATGGCACTCTACCCAGGGGGACAGCTTGAGGCTCTGTCTCAAAAAAAAAAAAAGAAAAAGAAAAAGGTATTTACAAATGGAATTTTTGACAGGTTATAATGAAAGAATGAGAATCAGTATATACTGTTGATGACAGTCAATGATTTGTCAGTCTCTCCACACTTAGACAATTTCATGAGCACAGTCCATCTAAATGGTGGTATGAGTGACTGAGATGGCTTTGGGTTACCTTTGCCTTACCTTTATTCACTCATCCTGCTATCTTGTTAGATATGCTGGCTGAGGGAAGACCATCTGTATCCACCTGTTATGACTTTAGGCCTTTTTATTTTTTCCCCCCAATCCAACAAAATATTTTATGTGACTTCTTCTAACCTTTTCTCTAATCATATTCTTTTCAACATTGCAGATGGGCCGTGAATGCTTATCCATAGTTCAAAGATAGACATAGAAGCTAGGAAGTGGGAGAAAAGTTTAGTCAATATTGAAAAATAAATAATTTTTTCCAAATCCTTTTAGCCACCTCTGAACTGCAGTTAAACAAACACACACACAGAAAGTGATCAATCATGAAATAATTTTTCTAGTTTTTCTTCCTTTTTCTTTTACTCTTTCCTCCTTTCCATGTTTTTTTTTTTCTTTTTAACTTTTGAGCATCCAGGAATCTAAAACACACAAAACAATCAAGATTCTCCTCCTGAATATATTCTTCTTCAAAATTGTATAAAAACGATGTGCTTTTGGTTTCTCTTTCCATGAAGGAAGCAGTTAATATAATTCTATAGGTAGAATTTCTAACATAATTTTGCATAATACATTGAGAGTTTTAAAAAGCAAAATTAGAAAGAAAAATTACACTTAGGTTATGTGCTGATCTGACAAAAGTTTATAAAGTTTTCTTTTTATGAGTAATTTTTTCCTACTCACAAAAAAAAATAAACTACAGCTGTATTAAGTTGAGCATTAACCAGGAAGACACATTTATCTCGGGATCCTCTTGTGTTTACTTTATCAGTGTATTTCACTGATCTCTGTTCTATTAAGAATAAAACCATTGTAGCCTACATTATCTCCTCAATTGCTTTTCAATTGGAGACAATTTTAGTCCATTTGATCCATTTAGGCAGCATTTTAACAAAAGTTTCAGACTTGAAGGAATGCAGCAGATTTAGGACACTTACAATTTTCCTATTCCTATAATGGCCTAGTGATCACATGTGGATGACTTTGTCAAGAGTGCACGCTGCAGTTTGAAAGGTGCCTTAAACAAAGGGGAGGACTTGTCCCATGTTCGAACTTGTGGCCTATACTTATTTAAATTGCACACTGAAAAAGGGGTAGATACTCTTCAAACAGCACTATGTAAAAGTGTGCCTAAAGCGGCTTTAATTTGTGGTATGTTTCTCAGCAGGGATTTGCTTGATTATTTATTTTAATATTCTGCCAAGAAAGGATGATGACAAGTTGGCATTACGTAGTGCACATGGTATGCAGCCACACAAAGTCCACAGAGGACATGAAACGCCACGGTTTGGTTTTATAGTAGAATTTCTTTGAAAAAGCTATATCGGTTTATGAAAAGGAAAAGATCATAAGGGACGTTTTGTGAGTCAGTGAGAGGATGTGTGACTAGGGAAGAATAGTAGGCATTTCAGAAAACAAAGGTTAAGTGGAAGACCAGACCTTAACCTGTCCAATACGACCAAATAATTGTAACGTTCAGAAGGATAGAGGGCTTATTGACAAGTCCAAATAATAAGCTGATTTCTGAATAAGTTAAATAGCAAGGTACAGAAAAAGGAACAGAACATATTGTACCTGGCAAAATTCCTCAAAATGCCCTCCACACTATTTCAGTTCAACAGCTGTAACTCCTTGTAGTGGGTGGTTTCCTTTGTAACCATGCTGTAAATTCTTCCTCTCAGAGTACACTGAATTCCCCTTGTTGAGTTTTCTTGGCATTTTATCGTATACCACCATAAAAAGAATGCTCACTAGTTTCATGGAGCCTTCTAACAAAAATTTTTCTGCAGCACTTCCCAGACTCTTCTACCAACAAGGATAACAGCTGTCTCTGAAATACACAGGTTTTTCTTTGTATATCAGTAATGGCCAAAGGGAAATCCTATTTTCCTCCAAAGATTTTGGATCTATTCTTCTAATTTTAGTACATAAGGTAGAAATTTTAAGGTGGTTCCAGGCTGCTTTCTTCCTCAATACTGAGGAACAAAATTTCACCTTTGGCTAAAACTATCTCTAAACTGGCTAGATGCACCATGCCATCAAATATTTTTTATACCACCAATACCAATATGAAATGATTTCAACCTATTAAATTTTAAAGCCAGATGACACTTAAAAAAATTGGTTCATAAAAGGTGTCAAGGTTTTGTGTGACCTTTTTCCAAAATGCCTTTTTTTTTTTTTTGGCAGTTTTTGGCCAGGGCTGGGTTTGAACCTGCCACCTCCGGTATATGGGGCCAGTGCCCTGCTCCTTTGAGCCATAGGCACCACCCTAAATGACATTGTTTTTTAAGCTGATGACCATAGAAAATATGAATTCTCTCCTGAGCAATAAAAAACTACATCCTTTAACTTCTTATGGTTTTCAAATCGCATAGTTATCACTGTGTCAATATAAAATGGCTCCAAAATTAATTTTTAAATATTTCTTATTTTATCTACCTGCAAATGTTCTGATTATTTTGTTTCAAATTTCTTTATTAAAGATAACAGTTTCTCCCCTAATCAGAATAAATGAGAGGTGTGATCATAGCACAAGAATAAAACCGAGTATTTTTTGCACTAATTAAGTACCATTTCATGTTTTTGTGACATGAAAGGAAAAGTCAGTTTTGTTTTCTCAGTGTAATCTTTTCCAGGCAATGTAGCACTAGTAATTTAAAAATATTTCAATGCAAAGAGATATCACTGAATTCAATTTCAAAGGTCTGCAACTTTTGGTAAGGCTTATATTTTCAAGCTAGAATTCTGCCTTGCTTCAGGGAAGAACATAATTTGATATTAGAAAATGTTCTTATAAGAATTATAAAATGAATTAATTACATATAATTGAGAAAAGTATTTGAAGTTCCTTGAGCCTCAATGTCCTTGAATATGAAATGGTATGGCCACGCTAATTACACTAGTTTCTTGTGAGAATTAAATAAAGCAATGTAATAACCTACTATTTTGAGTACATGCCTGTTTCTGGAATACATGTGGAAAAGAAACAAATAAAAACTGGTTTGTGGTTTGCCATCAGGAAGGCTGGGAGGAAGCTTTGATTCCTAGTAAATTTTATATTTTTTTATTTTATATCATGTACACATATTAACGGTTAAAAAAATTAGTTTTAAAAGAGATAAAAATAACAATGTCAATTTATTATATTCACCGCAATAGAGAAAGTAATCAATTAGTATAATGATATAAAATTATTTTCATATCGTTCGACTCACGGGGAATGGATTTCATCCTCGCTGAGTGTGTGTGTGTGAGAGAGAGAAAGACAGAAAGACATAAATTTCTTTTTTTTCTTCCTTCTGTTTCTAATTTCTCTGCTTCCATTCTGCGGGTGGAATTTACTTAAGGTGTTAACAACATAATGGCTTGGTCTTTAGGTTTGTTTGATTTTTTTTGCTCACATCCATGTCACACTTTTCACCTGTGTGAGTAACACTGCAATTTTATCAGGAAATGTTTTTTCACCTTCTGGTTCTCCTCATCACACCCTTCTTAGGAATTGTAATCCAATCCACGAACTGATCTAAGCCATATTTTTACTTCATTTTGAGCTGTGAACAGAAAGTCTAAAGTACTTATGAACTTTTGTTTTTAATATCTGCTTCTCAGGTAACTCAGCCATGGTAGAAACACAATTCACAAACTGTTTTTGTTCATCTCAGTAGAGAACGCTTTCCTCTGAGACAGTTCAGAAAGAATGGTAGTCTAATCAAACAGCAGCCTTTGTGCTTGACAGTTTCTAGATGGTTAGTTACATCTGTCAGCACTCATTTATCTTAGTCCAGTGTATTATTTTTGAGACATCAAACTACCCTTGTGGTATTTTTTTCTTTTCTTTTTTTTTTTTTTTTTTTTTTGTAGAGAGACTTAAGGATTTGTTGGAAAGAATACCCATAGCCACTTGTTTCATATGTATAACAATTCCTTGAGTGTATTATCTTACCACCACCTTAATAAAATTGGAAAAATGTCACATTTTCTTTCATTAGTCACTTAGTATATGTGGAAATCCCAAAAGTATGTGTCTCAATGCCATTTGAATCACTGCAGGATAACATGTACCTAATGCACTACGTCAAGAAGACACATATTGAGGATCAGAAAATTATAAAATTAGCACTATGCTCAGGAATCAGCATAGAATTTGATTACTGTATAAATTATCTAGAAACTACAAAAGAAGTTTCACAGGGGAGTTTTTTATTAAATAGCTCTGTTCTCTCAAAATAAGCCAACTGAGGTATGAAAAATTGTCATCTATCTTTAGATCATTTCAGATAGTCAAAGAATATAGCAATTCCTTAAAATGATAAAAATGTATTAAGTAACATACACTCTGGCTTCAGATGATATGTCTGCTTAATGAGAAATAAGCTATAATAGGCTTATTTCATATTCCACTGCCTATATTTTTGGGGAAAAACAACAAAGATGTCATAACTTATCTACACCATTCATGTTTGATAAGACTCCCCATAGAAATCTCTGCAGGAAATCTGATCTCTGGCATGGTGCAATGAAATAGTTACTGACATTGAATGTGGACAATACAAGAATGTACCCTTCATGGCACTGGCACGTAGTACCTTCCAGCTCAAGAAAATCATTCTGGGCTCGACACCTGTGGCTCAAGTAGCTAAGATGCCAGCCACATACACGTAAGGTGGCTGGTTCGAATGGACCCCGGACCCACCAAATAACAATGATGGCTGCAACCAAAAAATAGCCGGGGGTTGTGGTGAGTGCCTGTGGTCCCAGCTACTTGGGAGGCGGAGGCAGGAGACTCGCTTGAGCCCAGGAGTTGGAGGTTGCTGTGAGCAGTGATGCCATTGCACTCTACCCAGGAGGATAGTTTGAGGCTCTGTCTCAAAAAAAAAAAAAAAAAAGAAAGAAAAAGAAAAGAAAATCATTCTGACTCTTGCCAAAAATAATAGTCAGGTAGGAGGTCATTTCCTCTAGCTGGAGGCAACTGTGACTGTATACTTTTTTTTTATAAGTCAGTTATTCAATTCAATTCTTCTAGTAATAAATTGAGTCACCAGCTCTTCTACTGAGTAGTTCTACTTTCTCTGAATGACCTTTCAATCTACTGTGAAATGAGGAAGAAAATCATTCTTCGGCCTTACTTTTATTTGTATTGATTTTTATCGTTCTAGTATGAGAATGGATTTAAGAAAGTAAAAGAACAACCAAACAAATGAACAAGAGAAACAAACATCTTTTATATCCAAGGAAAAGTTTTTATTTATCGTTGGTTTTGTTATTTATACTCCCTCTGAATTGGATTTTATATATATATAACAATATAAATATGAATTTTTACCTAGATCAAGCTAACAATAAAAAGAATGACCAACTAATGACCTTCTTTACTAACATTTCTGATCGAACTTTTTGTTGGCGTGGTCTGAAGACAGCTTTGATACTAAATTATTCAGTTTTCACATCTTTCCTTTCTATTTTTATTTTTCTTGATTTTCTTCACCTCATATATGAATTAGAGGCAATGAAGTTCAGCTAATAGTTCTCAGCCTGTGGGTCACAACCCCTTTGTAACAGTGAAGATACATCCTGCGTATCAGATATTTACATTACAATTCATAACAGTAGCAAAATTACAATTATGAAGTAGTAATGAAAATAATTTTATGGTTGGGGGTCACCACAACATGAAGAACTGTATTAAAGGGTCGAGGCATTAGGCGGCATTAGGAAGGTTGAGAACCACTGGTTTAATGCTATTGATTTTGTCAGGTCACAGGGACCTGAGGGATCTTCTCACAGGTGATCCAACATGAAAGTGTTTGAACTTGGCATGACCACTTTAGGTTGCTTTCACAACATATTTTTAAGTAACATACTCTTATTCACACAGAACAAGAAAAAACAATTATTAATCCTGACATTGAAAAATACATCACAATTATTTATTAATCATTTGTAAAAGATAAATTATTAGCCTTAAAAAAGTTACGGGGCGTGGATATGGGCTACTATTAATGAAACAATAGGTATTTAAATATTTCAGAGTGTCTTGGAAATATACGGATAGTTTATTCATAGCAGTGTTGCATTTTTAGAGAAGGGTTATTTCCTTTCTTTGTGGTTAGGCAAAATATTATTAGTGAGAGAAGTCAGATTTGCATTTGATATTTAGCTAAGCGAAAAGAAGACGAGCTGCTTGTGAATCCCCACGGACTGTACCGCGCCAATTTAGGATAACGATGCGTTTAGCTAGTGATTCATTCTAGTCATTTCCAATCCATTTTTTTATTTATCTTGAGTTACAATAATTCAAAATAAATGATCAGTTTTTAAATTCAGTGTCCAAGATATCTATCTATGTATACAGTAATAATTTGGTACTCAATGATTTTCTCCGTGTAATTATTCCTCACCACACTGGAGGGTATGCAAAGTCCAGTTTTCAGACAAGTTAGTGAGACACAGGTTCTACCAAAGAAAAGCTTTGGGTTGCACTGCTGTGAGTGTCTGTTTTACATTGCAAAGCCCTTATTTGCAAGGGAGAATTGAGAATATGAACACATGATAGTGCTATACAAATATTTACGTCCTAATTTATCTCTCCTGTCTTTATTTTCTGAATATTTTTCAAATCAATGCATAAAAAACATTAAAATACCCAAATAATCAATGTGATAATATTAGGATTTACTCTAAGTATCATGGTTTATTTGAAGACAATTATTATCCCTTTTCTTCCTCTGTTTTCAAACAATTCACTTTAAGAAGGCAGGCAAATGACCTATTTTCTGGAAGAAATGATATGAGACCCTTTCTGTTTTAAAAAAGCAGAAATTCAGTTTCTTGAAGGGCATGATGGCTTAGTGTAAAGGCTTGGGATTAAACAGGCCTGGGTTTGGACTCTCACCTTGACATTGCAACCTTGTGTTGGTTGAACTGTAAAACAGGAATATCATTATTTACGTCATGAGGTTGTTGACAGAACTCAATGAGATAATTTGAGAGAGTCAAGCTAGTGTCAGACGCCTGACAGGCACAGAGAGGAATTCCGTAAATAGTCACTTCTTTTTTTTCTGCCTTCTGTCTTTTTCCTTCTATTCTCTGCCATCTGGTTACGATTCCTCCATTATTAAACTCTGACCTAGAGATAATTCTATTCTAATAGTAATGAGTCCAAAAGCAATGCACTCTTGAATTGCACTCAGTGGGGCCTGGATTTACCAAAATTTCTTTCTCTTCAAACACATTTCTGTCATATCTGAGGCCATGTGGTGGATTTATTTTTGGGACTGCATGATAGCTTATCCCAAACAATAACACTTCTCCCAATAGATATTTTTAAAAGTATAAAGCCATAAAAGTGGCAGCGAAAATATCAGTCCATTCTAAATTCTAGCAAAATCTCATGAAGTCAGATACTACTACAAAAGACACATATGGAAGATGTGATTGCTACTAAAATAAAAGCTATAAGCAAAATTTTACAATGATACTTTACCCTAGAAAATAAGAATATTAGAAACATAGTAGCTTTATACCTATAAAAGCAAGTGTATAGCAAATGTAGTTTGCATTCTGTAATTTTGTCATTGATTTCATGTTTTAGCAAAATTCATTAAATCAGACTTCTGTTGAATTTTTTCTAAGTTGGTGCTAAATGAGTAAACAGCTAGGTAAACAGTGAATGATTACAAAATACTTCCCTCAATAAAAACATATGAAATACAAGTAGTTTTGCTTAATGATGCAGAGAGAAATCCTGCTGTCCTTTTAGCATGATCGTAACTTCAGACTTGTGTTTTGCTTGTATCATTTTTCTTGCGTTCATTGAATTAAAGCATGTATATGTGGCTAATTTTATCACAATGCAGATGGAGAATTATACTCTGGAACTGCAGCTGATTTTATGGGGCGAGACTTTGCCATCTTTCGAACTCTTGGGCACCATCACCCAATCAGGACGGAGCAGCACGACTCCAGGTGGCTCAATGGTAGGTGGCATGTTCAGGAAAGCTTGTGGCCGGTGTAACTGTATTAAGTCACTGGAGAGCTTCTATAGTGTGTGCAGTATTACCTGAAATTTAGTGTGCTGTTAAGCTAATAATGGTGACTTCATGACTGTGGGCGTGAGAAAGTTGGGCAAAAAGAGAAGAGAGAGATTAAAAATTCAGGAAAACATATATTTTGTGCCAAAACTGAAGTTTCTCAGTAGTGAGCTATGGAAAGAAAGAGATCTGGGGAGGAGTTACGGAAGGGAGGGAATGGAAAGAGATAAGATGACCTCCCTACACTGTACAAGGGAACCCCAGTAAATCCCATAGTGTGGTACTCTTCATCCTTCTCTTGAGAGATGGGTGGATGGCCTTGAGATCCTCATCAGATAAACTACTGGATATCAGAAAAAATTACAGTGCTAATGACGTTGTGTTAATAGTATTTCCACAATTTCAAAGGGATATTTTATAGCATTGTTTCAACTGAGTAAACTTCAATATTCCTAAAAATACCTGCTTCTTGTAATAAGTGAGGAAATTAAGGCCATTATCTTATCTAACCCTATAGCAGACCATTTAGAACAATAATCCGGTTTTTTCAACTTCTATCACTGGCTTGAATAATTGATCAAGTGGACACTTTTTATTATTATTACTACTCTCTATTTTCTTTATAGGATACAAATAATTTTAGCATGGCATAACATGTATAAAAATTATATGCTTAAAGTAAATATTATATCTTCATATTTTAACTAAATCTTTATAAATCTTTGTAACTAGATTTTTATAATGGCCCCGACCGTTTGTATATTATAATGGTTTTCTTATTATAACTTAATTAGCTATATTTATATCTGCCTTTAATTTTATACAACAAAGTTACTCAATCCCTGATCTCCTCTCCACGCACTTCTTTCTGGTTTCATATGACTCATGAATAAGAATGAAGCTTTACGGTTTACTGTTCACCTATGTTCTCAGTCAGATGATGGATTACCTTCCTCTTTGAACTTCTGCCACGGTTGTTTTTTCTGCCTTACTTCTGAGAAGCCAGAATTCTTCCACTATTTCTGTACTTCATTTGTTTGTTGGAGAAAAATCACAAGGCTGTCTCTAAAGTTTTAAGAGACCCTGAGCTGTGTGATAATGTCTCTTCAGATCGATCCTGTGCTTCAAAGTACATTCAAAACAAAAAGTACCTCCAGTTTCCTCCGTCAGCATCTCTTCCTCTCTGTGGCAAGATTTCTGATGGTCCTATTATTTTTCATGAAGTAGTGACAAAAGCTTGCCTCCTCCTTCCTCCTTGGATGCCTCTTTGCTCTTAATTACATGGATGTTCTTTCCTAAATGTGTCCAGTCTAAGCTTTGTCTGCTGCCTTTATTTTTCAGCACTGATTTCCTTCCCTGACCTGAAATCTTGCTCATGCAAAACCCTCCTCTTAATCATGGTATCCACCACGTCCCTGTCTGTGCACCTAAGTTCGTAACCTGGTTAGCGTTGTTCCTTCAACACGTCTCACTACCGTCAGCTACTTCTCACTTGACTTTGATCAAATCGTCTTTTTCCATGAAACTTTTCCTCCACGCGTCATTAGTGACCTCTGATAGCTTTTTAACCTTCTCCCCCGAGACAAGCTCTTCTGCAATATTCGTCACTAACCAGCTAATCTCCCTTTAAATTAGTCACTGCTCTTATCTTTCCTCATTTCTTGCTCTACTGAGTTTTGTTTAAAATTGTCACAATCTCTCCATTGCTATTTTAAATGAAGATGATGCCTGTGATCATTAATGATTGATTGCAGACACCGTGCTAATCAAAAGGATTGGAATTATATCCAAATGTCCCCCTGCCACTGGGGGTAGAGCAAGTGGTACCTGCCTGAACATCTGAGAAAGTAGGGCTCTCACGAAGGAAAAGAAAAGACGTCGAGATGAAAAGAAGGATGAGTGTAAAATTCCAAAAGCCCAGAGGACAACTTTGGAATCTCCAGTGTGAATGAGTAAATGTAGCATGTGTGTGGAGGCAAAATTAGTAGAGGAAACCCTCTTTTAACATTGCTGTCTGTCCTATTCTCCAATGAAACAGTGTGATCAGGAAAGATTTGTTTGTTTGTTGGTTTTTAATTCAGCAAGAAGGAGACTTTGACCTACCGGGATCCCTAAAGGGCATACAGGCTTTTACTGTCCATGAGAAACAAAAATCTCATTAGAAGATAAAATAACGTAAAGGAGAGCCTCGTATCCATTTCAGTTTTATGGCCGCAGAGAAAAAAAAAAAAAGTCATCAAGTTAAAGCTGCTTTTATGCTGCACACTCGCATGCTGACAGCTGAGGCTGAAGAATTTACACTGTGGGAAAACACGGTCATTGTCCACGGCTCTGTACTTCATCTCTGAAAATGTGTAGTTCACTTGAGAATTCAGTTATCAGGCTCTCAGCACTAAACGTGAGAACTGATTTTTCCAAATTAACACAAAGGTTACATCTGACAGGGTGCAGAAACCAGAGCGGCTGCAAGATGGAGCATGCAGACAGGTTTGAGACAGAACCACGGGCCTGTGAATCACAGGGCTCATGAAATTAAATACCGTTCCTGAATAAAACTGGAGACATAATGTTTACACACACACGCATAAAATAAATGAGTTGTGAGGCATCGGCGGAGACCATACAATCATCTGTGTTCCACAAATAAAACATAGTCTTGCAAGGTATTTTTTTTCAGGGGTATTCAGGTTATTAAAATTAATTTTGGTATAGGAATTAGTTTGTTTTTCACAAAACAATTCAACTCTTTTGGAAGAATCAGTTTGCATATTTGAGACCTTTAGTCTTTGTCTCTACTATAAAAAGTTGTAAAAATCAGATCTTGAAATATCTAGACTTTTTTTTTTTTAGAGACAGAGTCTCACTTTGCAGCCCTTGGTAGAGTGCTATGGCATCACAGCTCACAGCAACTTCCAGCTCATGAGCTTAGGCGATTTTCTTACCTTAGCCTCCCAACTAGCTAGGACTACAGGCACCTGCCACAATGCCTGGCTAGGGATTATTTTCAAAAATGGAGTTTCACTACTTATTATTATTAAATTTTACAGTTATATAATAGTGCCAACAAAGGTTTAAATTCAGTTTAACAGGAAATATTGGGAATGAATAGCACTTTTAGATGAAGAAACTTCAGAGAAATGAAATCTATTGTTTTTTTTTTTTGCACATTAATACGTAACAGCTTCCTGAAATATCCTCATCATTGGTAATAAACTGTAATTTAAGGTTTCCAAGTAAAGGTTAGGGCAACGTTGATTTCAGGAAATGAGCTGGTATGGATTTGACATGCTATGGTAAAATTCACTGTTTTTTTCTTACTCTACATAACTTCCCTCGATATTATATGGCTTTAAAATTCAATTCTAAACTGAGCTTACTGAGAAATAAAGTACAATTGTTCTGTTGTATATTCATAGTAAAAAAACAAGTTTACACTGTCATTATAGTAATGATTCCTTAATAATTCATTTTAAAATACTACTATCCAATTATTGTATGTATTAGCCATTCGTTAAAGCACATAGATTAGCTTTCTCTTTGTCTTGGACTACTGTCAGGATGATATTTAATTTGGGGGATAGGCTAGTCTTTAGAATGAGAAAAAGCTTCACTTAGACTTTGGCTGTATTATATATTTAATGGATTATACTACCTATCACCTATATATAGTTGTGAAAAGAATGACCACATGATAATCCACAAAAAGCACTGAGCGAGTGTCTGGCATGTAGTAAGCTCCTAAGAAATGTTAATTGTCTCTGTATCCCTTACCCCACTTCCATCGGTTGGAGCAAGCTTAGGAAACTTGGTCAGACTCACTCTGTGAGTGATTATATTTGAGTCAGGGTGAAAGGGCAGCCAGAGTCGGGTTTAATATATGAAACCACATGGATCCTTGAGAGCCAAGACCCGGTGAACACAAACAGACCTAATTGCAATGCCCGGAGTGTGAGGCCTTCCCACTCACTTCAGGAAGACCTGTTTTCTTTTAGTGGAATTTCCTAAATGGATCGTGCCTGAAGATAGACTAACCCACTTGCCTTTTTCTGTAATTGAAATGGTATGTGAGTCATCATCCCACTTCCTCTCGCTTGTAACACTCACACCACCATGGCCTGCCCTTTTTGGAATCAGCGTAGCTTCCTCTGTGGTCATGTACTAGGATGTTTCATGTTCTCTAAGATTCAAATTTCTCCACAAGATGCATTTTTAGCAAAAAATAGAACCAAGACATATGACTGCAAATAATCTGAGTGCACAAAGTAACAGTACATGGTACCAGATACCCAATCTCAAATTACTTAGACAACTTTTACAACTTTGTTAATATACTATTTCAATAATGCTATCTTTGGAGGCATAAAAAAATATGAGTATCTAATTGTGTTTTTCTTTAATAAGTAAGATGAATGATCTAGTTTTAAATGAAATATCTAGTTTTGAAATGAATTATCTAGTTACATCTACTTTTTCTATTATTTATTTGGCTTAAATGTAATATTTTGCTATATTGGTAGGGAAAAAGTCCTCCATAAGGTTAACGTGATGGTCATTTGAGCAGATGAATATTATAGAAGCTGAGTGATGATTCTGTTAAAACAATACCAGCACTAACAAAGGTCCTCTTAGTTTTTGAAGGCTAAGAAAGAAGGAACAACGATACCACATTTTTTAACCTTGAATGCTATCTTCTGTGAGGTACCACTGTGTCTGTTAGCAATCCTGGGATATCAATGCATAGAGTCACAGGAAAAAAACAAATGCCAGTATTTATGGTTATTTTTTCTGCAATTATGTTGAAACTTGAATGTGTAATAACTTAAAATAGTTATTCATATCTGCACCTCAGCATAACTTAGTAATGTTTTACTTTCTCGTCCATCTATCACCTAGATATGTTTTACCCTAACAATGTACACCCATTCGGAGTGTAAGCTTTCCAAAAA